TGCTTTTTGTATGGATAGAGTGGATCTCTGATTTTAGAAACTGTATCTCAGATTGTTAACTTGATTCCAGTCACCAGACAAAATGTTCCTGACAGCATGTTTAGTGCTTTAATATAGTCTTTCCAGTTCCGTTCACTGCCATATTCCATGGAAGAATGAGATCCACACAAGGAAGGAGAGGTTGCTGATTCTGGTGCTGTTCACACAATCATGGTGGATAACTCTGCCAGGAATAGATGAGCAGGAGCCTCATCTCTGCCTGTCTTGGATGTGTCTGAATGTGTAGAATGATCGCACAGCCATCTACACTAAGCACCAGCCATGTCCCCCAGTAAACCTAGGCTTTAAACCCACATTAATTTTCATGTTACTAGCACCTTTTAAATACTTGCTTTTTCTTATTTTGTTGTTGTATTGCATATGGAGAATTTAAGCTTAGGCTGGCCATACATGAGGCATTTCTTTTTTGTTCAACCGGTGGGCTGAACGAAAGAAAAAGACCCTATTCCTCCATCCAAACACTCAATGTGGATGGGAGAATCCCTCCCGTGGAGTCTTTGTATTGTGACTGTGAGGAGCCTTCCCCACCCCCAGAATACACTGATCACCACTACTGGCTATAGCCAGTGGTGCTGACTGAGAGAAAAATTTTCCAGCACGCTGATTGTACACATATCAATTCATAGATTGACTTGTGTACAACCAGCCTGCCCATACATGTATTGAAATCCATCTGGACCCTGCTGAACCATTTGAATTTTGATCCATGTATGACTGGCTTTATATACTAGACATAACTCTGTATTTGTACCAATCACATTAAGCCTGCTGCTTAACAGCTGCTGAGATAAAATATCAGCCATAAATGAAAGCATTGTTTTAAGTGAGTTGGTGAACTAATAGATTTATATTGTAAGAAGGAGCAGTGAAGTGCAACCATTATGTAGCCTTGCAAAGCAGGATGCTGAGCCTATATACAGTATATAAACAGCAGATATCCTCTCCTCCATGTACATAAATCATTACAAACCATACACAGAAACCCTTTAATAATTTTATTTATATTAAGCTAACCTCTTTTATATACAGTATATGTCATAAATATGAAAAACTATAAATTCCCTATAATGGCATAGATCATATCACAGACAGCAACTTCAGTTATATCTTGAGTCATCAGAAAGTGTAGAAAGTAACTGTCACTTCTGTAGAAAACACACAAACTTTCTATTTCCACATATTTTAAGATAAATGATGGACTACAAGTTCGTATTTCAAGTTTAGGCCATAAATGTTCACTATGTATTTTATATGAGGAGGAAGACACAACACATACTGTAGCTGCACATTTAAAGGCCTTTTTTGATGGACTTTTTGCAGCAATATTAGCTTTGATGTGTGCTGTTAAAGATATATAACACACTGTAAACACCAATAGGAGTAGTATTTAGTATTATCTATCATACAGTTGCGTGTTACTACTTGATATGTTGTATTTGAGCAGATGTGGGAAACACAATTAAGTGGGAGCAGCAACACATAGTAAGTTAGTAATTTTAAGATTGGAACCCAATAGAACACCTTTGGGATGAATTTGAGTGGAGACTATGGGCCAGGCCTTCTCGTTCGACATCAGTGCCTGACCTCACAAATGCTGAGAAACTGAAAGAATGGTCAAACATTCCCATAGACACACTCCTAAACCTTGTGGACATCCTTCCCAGAAGAGTTGAAGCTGTTATAGCTGAAAAGGGTGGGCCAACTCAACAATGAACCCTACGGACTAAGACTGGGATATCATTAAAGTTCATATGCGTGTAAAGGCAGGCACCCCGATACTACTTTTTGGCAATATAGTGTATATGACATAATCTAGTGCCCTTTACAGGAACAATGCAAGCTAAGAAACAAATAAAAATTTGGGGATAAATATGACTGCAGACTGGCAAATACCACTACGGAGGGAAATTACCTTTTACAGGCAGCTGTGGCTTCTCAGGTATGGTTTAACTTCAATCTTTATGCTTTAAAGTGTATGCCAGGAAAACATCAATAAAACAAACATATACAGTCATATACAGTTCATCTCCATGATACATGCACAGTATCACATGTTTTATCATTTTAAAATGCTGCAAATACAGAAAAATACTGGTTGATATGTCAGAAATCCAGTGTGCTTCTAACTTTCTTTATAGAACACAAAGTTTCTGCTGCTCTGAAATGGTAAGCAGTGTTGTCAGCCCTGCCCAATTCCCAGTTTGTTTTGTTTTTTTACTTTTTTGCTTTAATTTAAGTAACCTAAAATAAAAATTATTAATTACAAATGTTAAAAACATACACAGCTCAACATTTAGGTTTTACAAAGGATAATAAGCGTCACAGGTATACTTGATGAAAGAGCTGCAGTGTGAAATATAAACAACTAAATGATGACCATCTAAAAAACTCTGTGAAAATAAATCAGTAAACATCCAGCAACAATTGATCAAATAATTTGATAAAAGTCAATTAAAAAAATATCAAAAGTGTCAATAAAATAAAAATAAGAACCAAAAAGCTGTAATTCTCTACTACACCATAAAGTGCAAAGTGCAGCACAAAAATCTTAAATTCATGCAAAATTAGTACCCAGTGTCCTTCACCTTTAAGGGTTAAATTACTCACCCCCAAAATTGTATACAAAAATATACTAATCAGATTGCTCTAGGGCAACACTGCCATGTGCTTGCTGTTTGTGAGGCCTCAGGTGGGCAACCTGAGGGCCTGGATGCTGAAGCTACAGAGAGCTGCCTGAGGGGTTGTCTACTGAAGATCTAGTCTGGTATCACTAGAGAAAGGTGTCGTTTGGTAGTTGGAAGGAGGCAACCAACTGTCCCTGGACATTTTGCGAGTACAGACTGCTATGAGAGATCTTAGAGACTTTGGGCTGCTGCCATCCATCTTGTGCTAGATAGTCAGCTGTGTGTTTGTCTAAAGGGGACATTGGCTGGTGTTCTGAAGAGCTTAGTCTATCTGGTCCTCTGTGAAGGGACTGTTCTTGTTACTTTAAAGGTAGAAGTTTGGGTGCTGTTAACTGCTTCTATTACAAAGCCAAGTCCACAGTTTGCTATATGCAAGGACTTTTGCTTCAGCTCTACATTTAACTGTTTCTACAACAGGCCATGTCCACAGTTTGCTATATTCAAGGACTTCAGCTTCAGCTGTATAGAAAGGAGAATAATGTCCTCAACTTGTACATAGTTCTGTTTTTGATGTAGTCCACTCAATCCCCTCACCCCTATCCCAGTTACTCAAAAAAAAAAAACCCCAAAAAAAAACCCAACACCAACAAAAAGAACACCCTTAGACTGGGTTTTGAGGAAAAGAGTGAATTGTGTGCCTGACTGCAGGGCAATCCACTGGGAAAGAACCTGGGCAAATTTCCACTCAAAAATTGCTGTTCATATAGTTGTGATGTTTATTTTGCTCTCTTTTATTGTTTTACCTAAATTATGCAATAATCTTAATCTTTACAACTCTGCCCTTTCCCACATACTGGGACTGACCTCTTGGCACAGAGTACCTAGCAACCTAGCCTGGAGTCATTGAGAGAGATGTGGAGGGGGCCCTGGGAGGAGTACAAGCATGGAATTGTGGAGAAGTGTGTTTCCTAAATCCAATAGCAACATATGGATCAGTCACTGGGACTGAGGTGACAGAACCGCGGAGTTGGTGGAGATTGGTACAAGCTCCGTAGTACCCGGTCAAAAATGCTGTACACCTGGGAAGAGGTGAACTCTAACAGAAGTTGTGTCTGTAGTGCATTAGTGTCAATAGAGTAGAAGTCTGGCCATGGATTACAAGGTGCTATTGTGCTTGTCCTGATTGCTTCTAAGACAGGAATGCCGCCATAATGCTGAATTCACTTGACCATGATCTCCACCTGAAGTGTAGGCATAAGTGAGCACCCCACCCAAGTACGCCTTCCCTAATGCGCGGGAGTGACATCATCGCATCTCGGCCAGTCAGATGGCCGGAGCTCACGAACCCAGAAGGAAGATCGGGTGAAAATGGAAGTCTTTGCAGCATTAAAATCAAAAAATGTAGCGCTACTCATAAAAATCAAAAAATTATTGTAAAATATATATAACAAATATAATACACCTCGTGAAATAAATATATATATAATAATAATCAAGTGGTCTTAGTGATCAGAAATATATATTAAACTAATATCATAAAAAATATAGTGTATAAATACTGTGTATTGACAATGCACCGCTGGACAGCTTCGTTTTAAGGGAAGTCCTTCATAATTTTTTTTATTTTTGTTTTTTTAACTGCGGTTTACTACCGCTTTAAATAATAGTTAGGAATACCAGGAGGAATAAAGGTCAATTTATTTCTTAACCCAGTGTGTATTATAATATTATCCTCTACCAAAATATTGTTAACTCTGTGAGGAATCCTTACTAATATACAAGTTAAATATGTTTTCACTTCTACCAGGAGCATGTTTAAGAACTTTATCCAGAATTTTCATCTCATACTTCCATAATTCCATTTTCTATCACTTTCTTCTATTTTTAAATTCATCTACCAGCTCTAAATACCTTATATTTTCACAAAGTGTGCTATTATTATAAGAATATTTTTCTGATTCCCTCTCTTTGTTATCCTCACACTTGAGTTTTCCTAACAGAACACCACTATTTTAAATATTATTTATTCAGATTAGATCCATATATGTTTATGATGCATTGATACTCCATCATTTCATCCTTTTTAATACATCCCCTGCATTTAAATCCAATATACATACAGTAACATGCTTTCTCTGTATATTGGAAAGCAGTGAATTCAGATAACACATTTGACAATACACACATAATGCTGAACATTTTTTATTAAGTAATATTCGACTCTTCACTTTTTCTCTTCAGATTGTTGACCCACAAGGCAGTTAATTATAACTTTTATTATTGGCCTCATCTGTTGTTCTTTTTTAGTTGGGACTTTCAATGGCTGTCAGTAGTCCAGACTGCAACATCGCATAACTGAAGAAATTCTGCTTTTCCACGTAAAACTACAATGACATATCTGCCAACCATGCCATGACAGTAGAAGTGTTGTGTTCCTCCAGCTGGGATAGAGGTAACCAACCCACACCTGCAAAATGAAAATAATAACACCAATGAAAACAGTAAAACTAATATTAATATACATTATGCATTTATTTTAAAAACTAGAACGATATTAAAATTAAACAGAATACGATATCAAGCTAAATAAAAAAGAAAAACTTTAATTTTTTTTATTCAGTTTTGTAGCCTCCCTGACGGTATTCCCGAGTGTAGCTTGGGGTAAGGTTTCAGTACCAAAAGCGGTAACCCCGAGCTACACTCGGGCTTTACCATGCGGCACTGCTCCGGCATCTGTTCTTTACGTACCTTTTCCTGCGCTCCGCGATGTCCCTCCTGCAGTGTCCCCTGTAATGTACACCGGCGGATGCCGGCATCTGTCATCTGGGTTCCGTCCCCTGCGAGCGTCGGGACGTACGGGGGACGGAACGGCGGGAAATTTGAAAATGACAAAAAGTGACATTCACTAAATACACCAAAATCACATAGTAAAACATTACTGTATCAAACCATTTCACATACATTTTGTCCCTACTGCTTTGTCCTGGGCCCTGCCTGCATTTTTACTGTTCTTATTGCATCCCTTTAGGTCAAAATCGGTTTTAGACCGGCTAGAGAACAGCGATCGTAAATTAGAACCACTTGCAGAATTGAATGATGATTCATGGGGGAAATTCATCATCAGACACTGAAAACGATTTTGCGACTTTGCTCAGTGATGTGCGAACTTGGCGCTATATTTCAAATTTCAGTGTTTTTGGTTTGATTATATTATTGAATTAAATTTATTATTATATTATTATTTTTTATGATTATTTATTAAATTATAATTTATGATTTCGTGTTTCAAATTTTAACATACCCGGGATGTTTACTACACTCTTGTTCGGACAGATTTCAGTGAGTTATTCCTAAAAATTACAGGCCTACAATAAAAAAATACATATTTCCATGCAAAAAAGTGTACCGCTTTGAGCACAGAGGTATGGACATAATCAGACCGCTAGGGAGGTTAAAAGACCTTGCTGATCAACTTGTTGTTCTGTTACCTAGTTTGTGTTTTTGCGTATTAGTTAATAAATATAGTGAGAGTGTATACTTCCAACTGTAATTTTACATTGCAAAGAGTGGATTCTAAATTGTAGGTTTTTACATGTGTTTTAGTTATGATCATATAGCAGATGTGTCATGTGTGTACCTTGCCACTCATGGTTTCATCTTTGCAGATCGAGCACTGTACAGTAGAGGTTATGGCTATTTTTTAATGTGTTTCTTTCAAGCAACAAGGAGATTAAATTATACACTACATTAATCGCTTCCCTGCCACCCTATAGCAGAAATACTGCTACAGGGCGGCAGGGGTGCGCAAAATCACGTATATATATTTGACTTTGTATTTCCGGATGCGCACGCCCTACCCGCGCCGCCGCTCGCAACCGCGGCTGTCAATCACCAGGTTGCAGCCAGTGATTAACGAGGATCTCCAATGGGGAAAGAGGGCTGCTTTGTTTACTAACATTCCTCCTCCCTGTCGGCTCAGGCACACTGCTCTGGATGGCTGTGCTGTCCAGAGCAGTGTGCTTACAGTGAAGCAGCAACACACCACCCCCCAGTAAAACACTCCCAGTGCACAGTTAACCCTTTGATCACCCCTCGTGTTAATCCCTTCCTGCCCAGTGCCATTAGTACAGTGTCAGAGCTTTGTTTTAGCACTGATCACTGTATTGGTGTCACCAGGGATGTCAGTGACACAAAGTCAGTTCCCCCCAGTGTCGGAATGCAACGTAATTACAACGTTATCACAGGAAAAAAAAAGTTCATAGCAGAAATGTAATAAACTGCTCTGGTCCATAAGGACATATGGGAGAGTGAGCTGAAGGGGTTAAAGGGGAAAAATATGTAAAAAAAAATATCCTTACCTGGGATTATTGTTTCCATTGTCACTCAGAGAGCTTCCAATGAGGATTTCAGCACCGTTCAGTCTTTCGCTACAGCAGTCTCCTCTGTTAGTGATGGTGATGTAGACAATTTTGTACGGTTTCAGCAGGTCCACCCTCCACCAGGGAGACAATCCATTGTGTGTACATGAGCAGAAGCCGTGGTAAAAGTTGGGGTCCTTGTTCCCATCTATGGCATTTATTGCTGCTGAATAAAAGCCATATTGTGCACTGTTTATTATGGCATACTGAGCTGCTCGACCTTGAAGGGCAACATTCCGATCTGTTAGACAATGTAAGAGTAGAGTTCCATATTACTCAATGTACAAATAGTAAGAGAGAGGAGATGCATACGATACAGCGCAGGGGCACATGAGGGATTCTTAATAGCTTTAATTATGATAGAGATTTTGTTGTATTTTCTTTTAGTAGCAGTCGTTTACAACTATCATGGGGTCTCTTCACTTTACAATCTTGTCTGAGTAATTCCCCCTGCCTGTCGACTAGCACACGTTCTGTCTCCCCATATATATCTGTGCTGTCATTCATTGTCAGTGTGCTATAACTCTCAATGATTAGCTGATTTCATGCCTAGATATAGTCAGGTGGTGACCCACCCCAAATATGTGTGACCCTATTTGCATCCACACCCATAGTTTGCCAAACACTAATCTTGTTAATATGTGGCTGTTCAGAAGATTAGGGTCCTTTTTTGCAAAGGGGCCAGGGAAGAATCCAGCAAATCAATGATACTAGTGAATGCTACAAGACTAGTGTTTTTGTTTTAATTAAAGAGGCCTTTTATTAATAAGAGAGTCTGCGACCCCCGACAGGAGGAATCTACGCTTCATATATGGTGAAGTTGTGACCTTCTGATACTCTTTTTGGTCCGCTGTACATAAACTTATTTGTAAAATTACTGCGTTATCCTTGAATTTCACTCCATTTCTATATCTATTGCATCACTCTACCCTCCCTCAAAGGGCATATTTCAAGTTCCTAGCCATGCACATGGTGAATGAGGCTAGAATGTGTATACCGTTCCACTGGCACTCACAGACTGTCCCAACGATTAGAGAGTGGTTTATGAGAATTAATAAAACTGAGGAAATGGAAGAGCTTATTTATGTTTCATGTGAAAAATATACAGAAATTTCACACAGTTTGGTCTGACTGGATTCGCTTTAAGTTCACTGCGGATTATCTGAGAAGTGTTTGAATGATCTTACTGGATGACCTTCCTTTGGGCATTTAGAAATGCCCATCAGTTTTCCCCCCCAGACATTGTCAATGGGGGGCGGGCTTTGGAATTTTGGAATTTCTGAAGTGATAGGTCATGTGCTTGCAGGAGAGGAGGACCAATTGTTTCTTATTCTCTCATCTCTTGGGGTTTTTTTTTTTTTTTCTTCTCTCTTCCTTTTTTTTCTCTTCTTTTTCTGTAGTCCCGTTATATATTTGTAATTCTGGTGTACTACAGCTGAGGATGGAATTCTATTATTGATTGTTCTGTATACCAAGTAGGTTGATAGAACCAGGGGCGGACTGACAACTCATGGGGCCCCCGGGCAGTAGGGGATCATGGGGCCCATGTCTCCTTGCCCAAACTCAAAAAAGCCTATGAAAAAGGTACCAGGGGCATCTCATGGGGCCCCCCACTGACCCCGGGCCCTCGGGCAGTGCCCGAGTTTCCAAATGGTCAGTCCGCCCCTGGATAGAACTAATCTTCTGACAGAATATGGCTGGCATGCTCCTATTCCTCTGTAGCCACTTGATGTTGGATTGAGTTGTATCCTGTTGTAAACTGTCTGTATGTGACTGTTCTACACATTTTCTTTCTGTCTGATGTAATGTTCTCACTTAAAAATGATTCTGCAATGCTATTCTTGTTGATACCATCTGTCTTCAATAAAAGACTTTATGGAAAAAAAAAAATGGAGTCTGCAACTCCATTTCCCTATACATGCATTACAAAAGGGGGGGTATCTTTAAAAAAATCTTGTACTCCTTGAATAGCTAAGTATGTCATGTGATTGAATTATTGACAATATTTAATTTTTCTGGGAAGGATAGAGAAATAGTTAAATAAAAGGATAGATAAAAGATAGAGATAGATTACATTCTAATTACAATCAGATTTATCTAAACACCTAATTTACTTTCTATCTATCATGTGTATCATTAATTGGTATCTAAAGATGGTTGAATAAATTATTTAGATAGATAGATATAGATAGATATAGATAGATAGATAGATAGACAGATTCGATCTGAGGTTGACCTATCTATCTGTCTTATTGCTGTATGTGTCTATACTGCTAATTTACTAAGCGCACATAGACTGTTAACTTTGCAAGAGCAGTTGTATTCTACAGGGGAATTATCTCCTGAGCTTAGTGAATGCTGATTTCCATCATCCAATAATGTGTAAACAAAAATGCTGTTTTTTTTTATTTTCCTTACACATGATTTGGTATTCTTTTCAATGTGATGCTTCACCACATTCACTAAGCTTAGGGAAAGTTCCCTTGCAGAGTACAACTTAACTTGCCAAGTGAACAGTGTAGTAAAAGTGATTCCAAAGACTGAAAGTTTTTTCACTTTCATCAATTTTATACATGAAGGTAAAAAACCTTCGGTATGCAGCTCCCCCCAGCCCCCCCTTATACATACCCGAGCCCCATCTCAATCCAGTGATGTGCACAAGTCCATAGGCTCTCTCCACTCTCTCACTCCTCATTGGCTGAGACACAGCTTCTCAAATCACAGCCAGCGAGGGGGAAGTTGGGGGCAGTACAGAGCCCTGCTCTGTGTGTCTTATGGGTCAGGAGCGAGCATGCATGAGTGCCCTCATAACAAGCGGCTTCATATGGGGGCATTTAGCAGGGGGGAAGAGCCAGGAGCACTGTCAGGGAACCAGAGAAGAGGAGGATCAGGGCTGCTCTGTGCAAAATCATTGCACAGAGCAGGTAAGTGTAACATGTTTGTTAGTTTTTTTTTTCATTTTTAATTTTACCTTTAGTATCACTGAAATCAACCCCCTCCCACCCGCTTTATTGATTTACCCATATATCTCATCATTTATATTTGGTTTATACAGGATTAATACATTATTACAATATTAACCACTTGCCCTCCAGAGGATTTACCCCCCTCCCTGACCAGACCACTGGCAATTACGCAATCATACAATGCTGCACTCAAATTAAATTTTTCCCACAAATTGAGCTTTCTTTCGGTGGTATTTGATCGCCTGTGTGATTTTTTTTATTTTTTGTGCTACAATTACATAGTTAGTCTGGCTGAAAAAAGACAAAAGTCCATCCAGTTCAACCATTAAAAAAAAATAAAGTTATAATCCTATACCCACAGTTGATCCAGAGGAAGGCAAAAAAAACCCCAGCAAAGCATGATCCAATTTGCTCCTGCAGGGAAAATAATTCCTTCCCGATCCCCCGAGAGGCAATCGGATAGTCCCTAGATCAACTTTACCTATAAATGTTAGTATCCAGTTATATTCTGTGTATCTAAGAAAGAATCCAGGACTTTTTTAAAGCAATCCACTGAGCTGGCCAGAACCAACTCTTGCTATAAACAAAAAATGGCTGACAATTTTAAGAAAAAAACAACATTTTGGACTTTTTGCTATTAAACATGTCCAGTAAAAAAAATTTAATTTCGTCATAAATTTATGCCAAAATGTATTTTGTGTCATGTCTTTGCTAAAAAAAAAATCCCAACACGTTTCCGTGAAAGTTATAGTATTTACAAATGGCGGTATAGATACTAGTAATGGCAGCGATCAGTGACTTTTAGCAGGACAGCGAGACTGCAGCGGACAATCTGACACTGGGGGGAACTGACTTGGTGTCACTGACATCCCCAGTGACACGAATACAGTGATCAGTGCTAAAAAAAAGCACTGACACTGTACTAATAGAACTGGACAGGAAGGGGTTAATATGAGGGGTGATCAAAGGGTTAACTATGTGCTAGGAGTGTTTTACTAGAGGGCAGGGTGTGTGTGCTTCACTGCAAGCACACCGCTCTGGATGGCTGCACTGGGCACAGCCTTTCAAAGCAATGTGCCCAAGCTGACAGGGAGGAAGACTGTTTTCTCCCCATCAGAGTTGCTCGGTAATCACTGGGCACCGGCGGGTAGTTACCAGCCGGGACCAGTTGATTGACAACCGCGGCCGCAAATGGCTGCGCAGGTAGAGCTTGCGCCCCCTACCTGGAAATGCAAAATCACGTATATATACATGATTTTGCGCACCCCTGTTGCCCTGTAGCAGTATATCTGCTATAGGGCGGTGGGGAAGCGGTTAATATCAGCCAAATAGATGAAAGTTCTAAAGAGACAATACCAACAATTCTTACATGCAGCAGAAACCATACAGAGGATCCACAAGAAGGTGGCGGTGTTTAGAAATATCATTCTCATGATTCAGTTCTACAGAAATGTAGGGGAAATAGACAAACTTATATTGCCACAATAAAATGTAGGTATAGCATAAAACTACTTTTCACTGTATTTGCTGTTTGATTTTAGAATTCTCAGATTTGTGTAGACCTAACCATTAAAAATCAATCGATATAAAGCATAGGGATGATGGAGGTGAATTTGCTCTTTGATTTTAGAAATCTAGCTTTTAGGTGGTCAATAAAGTGTATGTAAGATTAAAAATGTTATCATACTGTATTACGTCAATGATGTCACCAGCATCCCTGCTCCTATGTTGCGTGAAGCTGTTCAGTAGAGAATTCCCCAGGCACAGCTGATTGGCCAGTGCCCTACAATCATTTGATAGCTTCCCAGTTAGGGCCAAAATGGGTTTGCCTGAACCTTAGCTCATCCGTAATTGTCACTTAGACCTATGCAGAGCTCTGAGCTCAGCTATGTTGAGCACCTTTGGGAGGAATTGGACACTGATGTGAGCTCGGTCTTCTCATCCATCATCACTACCTGACCTCAGAATTAGGTACAAATTCCCACAGGTACACCCCATAATCTAGTGTACAGTCTTCAAAAAAGGAAGAGGGGAGAGAGCAACTCAAAAATAATGGTCATGGCTTTGGAATGGGATATATCCAAACAAAATCATACTGGTGTGATGGTCACATACGTTTGGTAACACAATGTATCAAAAAAGGGAAGATTCCCTGCTGTGGTGACCAATTGGGGTTGAATCAAATTGGTTGTTAATTTTGCAAAGTAATCTTTTCTTAGCTAGTGAACGAGGTGGAACTTTCCTGACTTCCATCATCAACAGTAATCACGTTCAAGCAA